TTGAACTCAGGTCTTGCAAGGTAGACACTTTACTGACTAAACCATCCTCCCAATCTTTCATTGTGTTTCTCACTTAATCTTCATCAAAAGCCAAGAAGGGTTTGTTGTGTTTCCTTAAAAAATCTTTTCAAGTCAAATCTGTGAAAACACAGAAACACATTTGTAATAATATCACACAATGAGGTAGTTAGGGTCTGATTCACTCATAGCCCAGGCATCAAATCTTTGTCCTCAGAAAGGCTGGCATCTCTTGGGGAAGTGCCATACTATGGACCAATGTGCTTAATCCCTATTATAGGAGGTCAGTCATCACGAGAGAAGGACATAAGCAGCCTTTAGTGGAAATGGGTGGAATTCCAAGGAGGGGGCATCCATTGGCAGCATGGGAAACTAAGGGACATGTCCAACAAAGTGATTTCAATTTATAATGAAGAGTGAGCAGGATATAGATTGAGTGTATATATACTCCATCCTAAGAGAGAGTAGACAGAAGGGATAAAGGTCTTCCTGTGCTCATTTCTCCATCTGCAAAACAAGAATCAGGCCAACTTTGTACTTTGGGTCTAGTATGGGGAACCAACCAAAGGAAAGAGAGGGTACCGTATGAAACACTGTGGGCTAGAGAGCAGGGGCTGTTAGAAGGTGTGTTGTAACTGTGTGCAGCATTCTGCAAGTGCCTTTCTTCTCAAGAGCGTAGACTTCTCATTGAGAGAGTGAAGGGATTTGCTAAATGGAATATAGAAAGTGCGCCTTCAGATTCAAACTTTGTGTTGTGATACTAGGGAGTCAGTATTTGAAGATGGGAAATTATACTGACTTTTTCATGACTGGGTCTCAAAACCATGGTGTGTATATGAGGTCACTGTCACAGGGCCAGGAGGTCTTGACTGCCATCTGGCCTTTCCTCTTTGCCACCTTCTGCCTAGAGACATGAATGTCATCCTCATATCCCCTGCACACAGAAAGAGGGGAGGGTGGAAGCAGGGGGGAAGAGAGGAAAGGGAAAGGGGGAGATGAAAGACCATAAGATTGAGAAGGAGAAGGCCTCTCAGCACACAAATATCTCAGATCCAAGGCTCCCACCGGGAGCTGGGAGACCAAGGAATGGCTCATCTCCTTTCTGTACACCCACCTGTCTCCTCTTTCAAATTGCATCCCCCTATTTCTAAGTGCCATCTTCATTCAAACGACGGAAAAGCCTTTGGTCTTCTAAGAGTTCTTTCATGAGTCTCTTCCGTGTCTCCGCTCCTGCTCTGGTCTGTCTGTAGTTGTGGGAGAAGGCGACCTGAAAGAAGGGTCACAGGGCTCTACAGTGCTGCCGGCTCAAGAGGGAGGCAGCCGCAGACAGGGAGGGGCATTGCCAGGAAGCTTTGTCAAAGGAAACTCATTTTAACTACAAAGTTCTGAACACAAAAAACTGGGGAGAACTCCATTCCAGGTGAAGGAGATTCGTTTTGGAAAAGGCAGCCCTGTGGGGATGGATTTTCATCTCCTCTGCAAGTCAAAATCTTCCATTTCAGGGGGAATGGGTGGCAAAACCCTGGGGTGCAGGCTAGGAACTCAACTAACTACGGCTTCCGGCATTCCTTTTCTTGAATTTATTTGTGATGATTTAGTTATGACTGAGGACATCTGAGTGTGTGTGCAGAGGACTGAGAATGACATGTGCCTTCCCCCAGCCCACAGGGACTGAGGCTAGGTCAGGATGCACCCCCTCAGAAATTAAAGGATGTCAGCTGGCCTTGCCTCAGAGGTCTGTCCCACTTCTCAGACCTTGGGGAGAGGTTTGCCATCAGGAAATCTGTTTCTTTGTTCTGCCCTGAATACCTCCTGGGGTTCCTCAAAGGGCTGAGATGAAAACCAGGTGAGGGAGGGAAGGTTGTTCATCTTGCTCAGTGATTTTCAAACATGGTGGGACTCTCATCAGAGGGAAGGGAGAGAAAGCCACCTCCCTCCTCCCTCCCTGACTGCTGCTTCCTTGGAGAAGTTCATGGGAAGACCTTCTATTTCCCTCTTCCCTCTTGCTCCTTTCCAAGATGTAAGATCCTGACAAAAAGACAATAGATTTCTGGGGAATGAAACTGGACTGTCTCTGTGCCTTGTGACTCATTCTAGAAATCCACCCAATCTACTTCCAAGGAAACCTGCATGGTTTCCAATTGACTGGTGACTGTAGGTTCAACTATAGGGCACAGATGTCCTGTCTTTTACATCTGGGAATTCATTGTCAGTAGTGGTTTGTGGGTTCTCTATAGTGGTTTGGGAGCTGCACCCTGAGTGGAGAGGTTACAGAAGTGAAACAAAGCTATGTTGGCAAAAAAAAAAAAAAAAAAAAAAAAAAAAAAACACTCTGTTATTGTGAATATTCAAAATTGGGATGCCTTTGGGGATGATGGAGGTAGAAAAGTCCACAGTGCTTATATTAGTACTTCACCTTGGGGGTGGAAGGTGATGGTTGTTAGTAACTTTTCCGATTATGGTGATAACATATTCATGTAATAGCAACTTAAGCAGGAAGGGTTTATTATTATTCACAATTCCAGGGTTCGGTCTACCATGGTGGGACAGTCAAAGGAACTTGAGGCAGCTGGCCATCCATAGTCATGAAATGGAGAGTGATGAATGCTTGCTCAGCTCATAGTCCAGGATCCCATCCCATGGAATGATGCCATTATGGTGGGTGGGTGAGTCTTCCCAGCTCCACTAACCTAAGGTTACCCCTCAAAGATATGCCCAGAGATTCATCTCCCAGATAATTCTAGGCATCACAAGGTTGACAGTTGACATTAACCATAACAGAGGTGTATTGGTGACTTTTCTCATTGAGGTGAGCAGATAGAGTGCACACGCGCACGCACGCACACACACACACACACACACACACACACACACACACACACATCTTAACCATTGAGCAATTATTTTGCTCAATGGTTGCAAAGCATTTGGCCCTTGCTCACTTGGTCCTTGTGCTTGGCAAAACAAGATGGTGGTATGCCTGTGCAGCAGAGAGAGGAGTTCACCTTGATAGGAAGGAGAGGGTTTGTGGAAGGAGGGAGAGGGGTTGCAGAAGGAAGGTGAGATGGAAAAGTACTCCCACGCATCCATCCCAGTGACTTACATCTTCCCTCTAGATCCCAGCTTCCAGAGATTTTGAAACCTCTAAGAGTAGCTTCACCAGCTGGTAACCAAACATTCAAACTATGAGCCTGTGGTGGACATTACAGATTATGAATCATAAGAGATATATGGATATGACCGGACCATTAATCCACTTCCTGCCCTCTAATGCACTTAAGAGAGAAACCTTGCAAGTGAATCTAGCCTAAGGGACACCATGGCTAAATGGGCTCTTTGTTTCCTTATGCCTTTCCTGCTACTCATTTGATTTCCAAAGGCCAGATAGAGGACACTAAATCCTGAGCCAGTTCATTCAAGATGCTTCTTATCTATCATTTGAAATGTCCAAAGAAAAGGAGAGGGGACAGGACAGTATGGACAATATGGGGGAGCAACTCATACTTGCTGGATATTATATATCTGCCAAATGCTACACACACACACACACACACACACACACACACACACACACACACACACGGTATAATATAAATGATATTAAAATCATATTAATACTCCAATGTAGAAACATAAACTATAAAGTTACCAGCTAGGAAGAACTAGTTGTAAGAAATTGAAGCCCTCTCAATTAGCTCTTCAAAGGGTGGAGATGGAGAGGGAAATTATAGGGCTATTGATTTTAAGGAAATTTGAACAATGAGCCTCTGGAAAGGTCAAGACCTGGGAAGTCTGAGGACATAGAAGGAACACAAAAGTCTTAATAAGTCTGTCATTCACTACTGCATTGGTCTCTTTAGAGCTTCTCCATCATTTCAAGGAGCACTCTGCAGACTTGAGGGTGTACAGGGATTAGCTTGCTTTAACCAACTGTCAAACTGGTACACCTGGCCAAGGACAAAGGATTCCAAAGAACCAGTTGTACACAGGCAAAGTTTAAGGAGTATTTTTCTGTTCTGAAAATTGATCTGAGAAAGTACTTGATGAAGGCTCAAGCCGGATGTTGCTCTTACATGCTGTGTAGTTGGGTCTGGGATGGTTGTGTCTACATTGCACATGTAACAGACTTTTCCCCCCTCTTCATCCTTCCCTATAAATACATCTTCTTACATAACATTTACATTATAGTAGGAATAGGTGATTTATAGCATTAGTTGGAGGACATATATAGGTTTTGCAGATTTTGGTCACTGTTGAGGGTCTGCTGTGCTTGGTCTTATGTGGCAATTAGCTGGGGGCATTAAAAATATTCAGATTTCTGGGCCCCAACTCAAACCAGCTTCATAACTGATTGATCTGTGCCCTATAATATATTCCCGTGTAACTTTGTTTACCCAACAGGAGCACAGACCCAGACTAGCTTTTGTGATCTTCTTCTAGTCAACAGATCAGCAATCATTTCTGTAGCTTCTATGTCCATCACTTTGAGAATGCTTTATTTTTATTTTTGTTTTTAATTTTTTATTTTATGTGTATGGGTAAGTTTTTCCTGTGTAAATGTCTGCACCCTCAAAGGCCAGAAAAAAGGTATCAGATCTCTTGGAACTGGAATTATAGGTGGTTGTCAGCTGCCATTTGGATGCAGGAAATTGAACCTTGGATCCTCTGGAAAAGCAGCCATAGCTCTTAACCACTGAGCCATCTCTGTACCTCCTTATGCAAATTTCTTAACTTGCCTACACTGTCATCTCCTCTTCTATGACAACTGTTACATCATGGGTTATTTTGGAACTTAAATATTCCATGTGTACAGTGCAGTATTTGGTACATAAGTCATCCATATATGATGCTTCATTACTAATTATATATAGTATAATTATCATCTATGCAAATCTCTGTAAATGATCTATCAGTTATGGTGACAGAAACAAAATCAATTGCTAGCCGCTGTTCACACACACACAAAAAAAAGTACATGAAAAAAAGGAAAAAAAGTCAGTTTATTAAACATTTAGAAGAACAAATAAAGGTTTGGACTTGACAGCATAAGTACCACCAACATCATGGTGTACAGGTACACTACCCTCCAGCTAACTTGAACCTGTTTAACAGATGCAGTCTGTGTGGTGTTGCCAAAAGGATAATCGCTAATTATTAAGTCTGGTGAGGTGCTAAAATTTTTACAGATTTAATGTCTCCACTTAAATATCCATACATAAACACACATTACCTTGCATACATTTTTCGGCAAAAATGCATCGGCTATAGTTACTGAAATTTCAATCTGTCGAGCCCTATGTTTTGTCCATTTGTTAATGACACTGATTTTGCCAAACACGTGGGGTTGAATCTAGCTTCACCAGAGGGATGTACTCAGGAGTCCTCAGCAGGAAACAAGCAACTTCAGAACCAAAGCTGAAGGCATTTACCACAGGGAGGGCATCACACCTCAGCTCAGTCAGCTACAGGGAACCCACCTCAAAGTTAAATACTGGCCTATGGACAGGCCACATACAATCCAGTTGGCCACTGCCTGGGGATCTCATAATTAACTCTGACAAAGTTGGAGTTTTTCCTCAAAGGAACAAGGACAAAAATAGATGAACTCTTAGAAACATCAGAGTCCAACTTGCACAAGGGCAGTTGCTTCACCCTTGGGTGGGAGGGAAGTTGCCATCTACACCCTGCCTCCAAGCTCTTCCAAAAACAAGGCTGCGGACATTTTGAAGGTGTATTTAGAATTAATGTAAATTCCCACACTAAGCTAATGGGCTAGAAAGAACCTCAGGGTTCTCTAATATAGCTTCCCATTCACCCAGTGACTGATTCCATCACGATGTTCTCAGACACAGAGTCCTTGTGCTTTGAGAGATGGTTCCTTAGAGGCCCATTACATTTAGAGACAAAGGCTTAGCCCAGCCATGCCTGTGTGGTTCATGAATGGTCCAAAGTGCCACTTCCTCTAGAGTCAGAGATGATCATTTATAGCCCTCCTATCCTCTCAAGGTAGCATGAGCAGAGAGACACACTGATTCATTTTTGGTTTTGTTTTTTACTTTCTTTGATAATAGTTGAAAAATGAGATGGCATGGCCTGATAAGGAAGTGCTATGCTGCTCATTCCAAATTATGTCTAAATGGCTGACATGCTACAGTTTGGATGCATTTTTTTCATGGCCAAATAATCACTGAAAGATGCCTAGGTTGAAATGGTGAGAGTTGAAAACAGAATTTCCTAATGGCCGTGATCTGCTGCAATCATTTGACCCCGGGTCCTAGCTTCTCGGGACATTGAACAGCATTGCTTCATCTAGTTAATGTCTATGGACAGACAAAAGTCAGCCTGGGGAAGGAGGGGTGACAATGAACTACATATAAGGCACCTGTGGAGACTTCAAATTGTTGTTGTGGTTGTTTTGTTTTGTTTTTAATGAGGTAGGTTTCTAAAACCTTTCCTGGCATACAAAAGAATAACTTGTATTATGATCTTTTTATGTCTTCTGCAGAAAACATTTGTAATGTTCATTTGGTACAAACAATTCCAAGAAAGACCAGGTATGCTTTTCTGCCAGTTACCACTTAACAGTTCCATGAATCTGGATGGTCCACGATACAACACTTCAACACTTCTCTACTTAAGTTTAAATATACTCATCTTTGCTCTGATGAATACTGTCAATGAACAGTTCTGCAATTAGCTTCTTTATCTTCAAAAAGACCAATGCTTTGTCATCTCATGGCTATTACTGAATCATCTCTTATTTAGTTCCTTTTAAGATTGTCAAAGTATTTTTTTTTATTGGTAGTTGACTTGAAAAATGTATTGAAATCTCATACTCTCTCATCTCTCGATATTATCTATGGCTTGGAACAAAACAGGTACCTGGGAAGAAATCCTAAAAGTCTCATTTTCTAGAACTCTGACACTAGACAGAAGGGTAGCTGATGAATGGAAAGGGACCACCAGATCTGCAGAGAATTCAGAGGCAGAAAACTGGAAAACATCCATGGATGAAAGGGGATTTTAATCAAGCACAAAATGTGCCTTTGGAGAAACAGCAGATTCTCTCGACATTATACAAGTCAGTGAAACAAAAGAACAGCCATCTTTATAGTCAAAACATCTATCAAATTATAAGCCATACACATAGCACCGAGGAGGTCAACCTTACACTGCATGAGATGCACAAGCCAAAAGAGAACAAAATCGTTTAGGGCCCTGGCAACAACACTCCAATCCAGCAACTCAGAATTTTGAAGTGAACATTTATGTGGCAGATGCTTTTCCTAAAAAAACACTGTATCATCCAATAAATATTTGACTAAAACCCATTTTGTGCTTTTGGGTGACGTTAACTGACTTCCTTATGAGACCTAATAAGAAACAAGAAAGCGTTGGAGCAGGATTCGTCACAGCAAGCCTCAATATTGTCATAAAATTTTAATTTTAAGCAGAAAACATGCTGATGTGTCAGTAATAGGTTTAAAATATTAAAGACTTCAAAAACCCCCACGCACTCCTCTGAACAGCATTGAATATATATCTTTGCTATATAATTTTAAAACATGGAATAGTTTTCCTTTTTTTTCTCTTTTCTATATATAATATATGTCTTCCAAAATACATTGTCAGTATTTATATCTGAAAAATACTGTACAAAAAAAGAACTTCCTATAATTACTCTGTATAAACATTAAACAATTTAATAATCTCTCCTTTTGGTCTATAGTAAACATTTAAATTGATTGGATAAACCACAGTTTGTGACAACACCATCCCCTTCTGAGATACACCAGTGTCTTTTACATTCATTTTTCAGAAGTCCACTTGATAGGCGCACATATGTTCAAAAGCAAACAGAGGGTGAGAAACGCAGGCTCCAGAATCAGTAATTTGTGAGGCATTCAAAGAGGACACCACAGGGGGGGAGGGGGCTTTACAAAAACATCAACTTTTTAACTTAGTTAACTGAGTTCTAAAAACAGAAAACTATCCTCCCCAAAAAATACATATTACAAAAAGAAAGTGGGTGAACTGAATCTTAAGTAACTCAATCGTTTTGAGTATCAAGAGGGAAATGGAAAAAGTTTACAAGAAAAGTAGAAGTGGGCTGGGTGTGGGAGGAGGGAGACAGCAAAACGAAGCACATCCATGGCAAAGGCTTCTCTCCAAGATGCGTTATTTTTTGGCTTACATACCGATAAGTCAACCCCTCAGTCTTAGGCTTCCCGTTGCCCTCTGCTTCCCTGTCCTGAGAATATTCTGGTCATGCGCAAATGCATTACTTTAATTTTGATTTTTTTTTTGTTTGTTTTGTTTTTTTAAAAGACAATGAAATTCCTAGGTATGGAAATTTTCCTACGTCCACTAGTAGTAATACTCAGGCAGCATGCTCTATCGTACACTAGGATTATTGCTTTAGGTACAGACAGTGCAAAACACACTCTGTGTTCTATAATGGTACTTACTTATCTGGGGTTGGTAGAATTAAAAGGAAACTTAGTAGGTAGCAGTAAGTAAATACGGGAACTACTCAATCTAAACAGCACTTTAAATGTGAAGACAATCATCACCAAAACAGAAAGGAAAACCAGAAAAGATAGGAGAGAGAAAAAGGCGGGAGGGAGGGAGGAGGGAGAGAGCAGGCAACCTATGAAGGAATTCAGCTGCTGCGTAGTGCTAGGGTTTGTTGTGCACCTTTTTAGCGTGGTAACTCATGGTTGAAACAGAAACAAGAGCTTATGTTCTGGATAACTGAGATCCACCACTTTACCAGGGCCCTGCTTCCTAAAGCCACTCAGACCCTGGAAAAGTTAAATCTGCTGGAACATGAAGCCAGGAGGGAAAGGGACCGGAGTGGAGAAGGAAGGGGAGGAAACCCCACAGGGGTCTCCAGAGTCTAATAAAGACATGGCACCTTTCTTGTTCGGAACTAAAAGACAACAAGAGGACTACCTTTCAGTGGCAAGTGGGGAAGGAATACACACACGCACACATGCACACCGCTGACCACACACGGGACCCTAAGCTTGTGTACACATACACACAGATGCACACCGAAATATGAGTCAGTTGCGTTTATGCCTCTGGTAAAGTGCTGATGTCGGAAAGGTTGGTTTGGGTGTGGTGCTACCAGACAGGAAACAAGCTGTCCATCTATTCAAAAGCCAGCCCACAAAAATGCCATCCTACAGGGGCCCGTGCCTGGCCTCGTACTTGGCAAGTATGTTCTTGCATTTGCCCAGCTCCTTCCTTAAATCAGCCACCTCCTGGCGGAGGGCCGAGTTCTCCTTCTCCAGGAACGAGGCCCGGATTGCAATCTGGTTCTCCTTCAGCCGCCGGGCATCACGGGAGCGCTTGGCCGCCATGTTGTTCTTTCTGCGCCTCGCCCAGTACTTGTCATCCTGCTCATTAGTTACAGAAGGAAAAAGAAACAAGATATTAGGTTTCAGCCGCACATAACTGGGTGTCAGCCAGGGGTGTGCTGGGACACCAGCCTGGTTTTCTTAATTCCCGACTCCTTCCTTTGCAGCTTCTACATGTCTGAGGGCATGGTCCGCCAGCCATGGCCTCCCTCCGAGAGAAAGCACTGACCTGTCACGACAGGCTGTGCCCTGTGCAGTTGTGTACCCAGTACTGCAGCAGAGACCAGAGCTCAGCTGAAAGCTACAGGCTCACCACACACCCTAAATTCCATTCCAAATTTCTTCACTCTCTTGGCTGAAAGTTTTTCTTAAAAGAACTTTTTTTTTTCCTTCCATGAATACACATGTAGGCTTTTCTAAGTTGAGACCCTGTTACTGGAAGGCAATGTGGTGATTTCTCTCAATAATTCACATACATACATTTTTGTTCTTTTAACTAACTAACTAATTATCCCCTCCCCTTTATGATAGGATCTCGGCATAGCCCAGGCTGGTCTTGAACTCACTATGTAGCCAAGGATGGCTCGGAACTCATCCTCCTGCCATTGCCTCCTTAGCACCATCATGCCAAGCCTGTCTAAAATCTATCTTTAAAAATACACTGTTAGCAATGCCACCTCTATGATTTTATCTCATATTCTCCATGTATGCAGACACAGGTGCATTTTTTTTTTAATTATAGAGTTGTTTGCAAAAGCTGAAAATGAGAAAAACTAATCATCTATAGTAGAGTTGATAACTACATTATCAAAGAGTCACACAAAGGGTTACTCTACTGTTGTTAAAAATAAAGACGGGGTGGGGGTTTGGGAGGGTGGGGGGACTGCAAAGATGTGTGGTGCACTATGATGTGAATGGAAGCAAGAGCAATCTGCTGGAGAGCATGCATGTTTATCACAATTTGATTAAAATTACACTTTACTGATTGTGGGAGCCCCAGATGGATTTCTAGTGGCCAATATAGGTGCCTCTATAAGAGGGACCAAACCAGTGAGGCAACAGATAAAAGGAGGGTCTCCCACCCTTTTAGTTTACATCATGAGCTATGAGAACATCGCACAAGGGGCATGTATACTTGGCAATCAAAAACAGACATTTTAAAAAAATGTACTAGCTCTCATTACTCAATGTGCTCCTACCAATGGTTACCATTTAAACAATGTGCTCTAATTTCCTATTTAACTGCTTACTGGGCTTCAATTACCCTACCTGGGATTCCCAGATCTGCCGAGAAAGGAAAGTTCCCAGGAGGACTGGAGGATCTTTTGGACCTTCTTTAATTCATCCATGGGAGAGTACCAGAAGGAATGTTTTAACTCCTTTCATATCAATAACTTGCTACCGCCAATGCCTCTGTCATAGCAAAGGTGATGCTTTAGTTCACACCACCTAGACTAAATGGGTGAGACCAACCCATCCCCTCTCTCAGGATGCCAAGAGACAGTTGGCATTGGAGGAAGTCACTCACATTGGAGGCTCAAGACTGCAAAAGAAGTCCAGGATCAGTGGTCTGCCCCTACACCCATCCGTCCATTATCCTAAGCAGACATGTGCCCTTTGTGAAGACAGTTGGGTGAGATGGAAAGCGTGTGAAGGCACTTGCTGTCTGCTGGTTACAAGATTGACCTTTGTCCATAAAGTGTCTCTAGACTTTTATATTTCATAATGTGTCACAAGAGGAAAAAAGTGATCTTCATAATAGCTGGCATGAGAATTTGTCTTAGGGAGGAGGCAGCCCTTTGAGGAATACCTAGATGAACAAGTGTGGACAGGTATGCTGTGGCTGTCGGTTGAATTTGTTGTTTGTGCTTCTCAAAGCTGGTGGGAATGGCAAGAAGGGAGGATGGCTGGGAGGTCCTGAGAAAGCCAGTGACATCACATAGGTGAGGGGAACCAAAGGTATCTTCACAATAGTAAAGCAGTCAGCTTTGATGGAGGCTGTTTGTCTCACTTGGTTGTCATTCCACCCCTTTATAGTATCAGAAAGCCTACCACACTTGTCAATATGCCCAGGAGTATAGTTTCCAAGAACATTCCGATGAAGGGCTGAGTCAGAATAGATCAGAACCTACACACAAGGGAACATCAGTGCAAGAGGTGAGGCTGCCCATGAGAACAAGCCTTTGGGAAGCTGTAGAATAGATTTGGCACTCTGTGATAATGCTGACCACATCTGTAAGGAGCATGGAATAATCAACTGATCTTAGTGTAAGGATCAACTCCCCTTACTCTGTTCTTTCCAGACTTAACTCAGTTTTTGTTCATACCCCTTATCATGTGAAAGGTGTTCCAGACTCATTTGCCCATACATGCAGAGAGTCAGCAGAAATGTGGAACGGAGAATAAATCTCTTAAGCAGGAGGAAAGCAGAGAGCAGAGCTATTAAGAAAGGGTGGAGAAGATGAGAATGATGGAAGAAGGGATGCCCTGGCCTAGAAAAAAACAGCTTGCCTCCTTTCATCATTCTGAACAGAGAGAGGGAGGCAGGACTTCTAGAAGGAATGATAGGCACAAGGTCCCCTGTTCCATCCTGCCAGGAGCTGATGCTATCTCACTACCCGGTTACCTTCAGACAGAAGGGACCTACTCATGCCTCCCACTTCTAACAGACTAACATTCCCTTCTTCTCTACAGACTAGACTTTCTATGAGACTGAATACAGTGTTGAGGTTGGCTCCCCTAAACCTCTGAAAAATGTCTGTCAAGGGAATGAATGACCCTTAAGAGTGCTAAGAAATAGATGTGACTATGCGTTATCAGTTAGGAAGCCCCTGTATGTAATCATTCAGCTCTCCCTCCATATGTATGCTAACCCAACAGGCCAACTTCAAAGAAGAAAGCCAAGCCCTTGTGGAGAAAACCATTCTTGGTAGGCTCCACCCAACTCTATTGGTTTGCTTATCATCCAATGCTGAGGGACACACACACACACACACACACACACACACACACACACACACACATCCCAGCTCAGTCCTCTCTGCTAAAAGAACACCTCCCAGCTCTTCTCCCTGCTTCTCTAGACTGGTGCCTTGTGGCTTCACCTGCAATTGAAAAATACCCCTAAGGGCACATTGAAGGAGAAAGTTCCTGCCAGTTTCCTACCCATCATGTGGAAAGGGCGGGCCATGACAGTGGCAATACATATCATTCCAGCACAGATGGTTTTCAAGGTCTCTTTGCTGCCAAGAGTACACGGGCCATTAAGTAAGCTCACTCTTCAACATGCAAACTTGGAGCCTCTGTGAAGGTCTGACTAGAAGTTCAATCTACTACTCAGTAGTATCCTGTCAAACAACCTTCCAGTCAAGAAGTAGCCCCAGCTGAATAGGCTTCCTGATTTAGGTGAAGGGCTAAAACTCTGAAATACACAGAATTAGATGACTGGGAACTCATGACCCTGAAATGCATCCAATTGCAAGAAGGTACTTAACTCAGCTTGAACCTAATCCCATGGCCCCTTACAGTCTAACCATCAGAGCCCTGAGAAGTTTAGGTTTTCTGGGACTTTTCCTTTCTTGGTTTTGACTCGTAGGGTGACAGCTCTTGATTCATTATGCAAGGGCCCCTTGTCTGGGCTAACATGCTAACATGACCTTTCCAGAAGCAGTGTTATTCTAAAAGTAGAGTTCACCTCAGTTCCCCTTTCTGCTTCTCCATATCCTCCACTGTAAAGGGATAACTCTGGCCTTCAGCCCTGACACTTGCCCATTCTGCAGCAATTAAGGAGTTCTCAGATGTGGGCATAAGAATTGTCTTTGGATCTTCTTTGTACATCTACCTCCCGTGTTCTTTCCAGATACAAAAAGGTGGCAAGACTGGCCTGTATCAGTTCACACAATGTCCCAAACTCTTATTTCCCTAAGGAGTGTCTCTACATAGGAAGCATATTTAGGGTTGGACAATGGGGATGGGGTGTCAAAAAGGACTAACGACACTTGGTCCCAAAGACTTGCATACATATATAATCGTTTGTTGTTCTCATGTTTGGGAAGAAGTATGAACAGAAAAAGTACTATGAATCAGCTAATCATGAATAGTTCTATGCTGGTGTCATTTTAGGAATATCTCTTTCTAAGGTAAATGTGTCAGAATAAACAGGCAAGTCTGTTTCCCTGGATGAATGGCTCATCCCCTTCAACACAGTTGGGAAAACCCAGTCAGAACTAACTACTGAGATAACGTCAGGAGAACCTGGCATGGTGATACACAAAGGACAGCATCTCTGTCCACAGTATGCTATCCTGGTCACCCAGAGTCAGCAATATGGAGGGCGGAGTTCAGACTTGTTTAGTCTCTAAGACGCTCAGGGAAGTGGTAGTGTTCACTATCAATAAACAACGAACAAAGGAATATGTCTCAGAAGACTGAGGTCCAGTTTCCCTCGTCAAATCATTTCTTATTTTTCCTTTGCAACCTTGGAAGCTTTGGGCTCGACACACATGGGATCCCTTGTAAAGAGGAGCCAGTTTGCTTCCTTTGGGGATTTAATATCTCTCCAGCCTTTTACTGCTTCTCCTTATTTCTGATCAGTATCAAGACATGAAAGCATATTTCAGAAAACTCCTAGAGAGGACCTACTGTGCCAAGAAGTCACATGCCAACAAACACAATCAGAAGTCACAGGTCCTTCCTTTCCAAGTGTGTGCAGCCTTCCTGGAATCACCCCTTCACGTTCTCTTACTCCCGCTCTCCATCTACCCACAGCCTGATTACCAGTTCCAAATTACCTTCAAATCATCAGGAATGAAGACTTTGCGGGCTTTCTTAATCATGGGCTGTGGCTTCAGTTCTTCCTCGGAGAACTTGCGTTTGCGAGGGTCAAACATTTCCTGCCCCGGGATACTGGAGAGGGCAAGGTCTGCTGGGTCTGGTTCATACCCGACAGGGACTTGGATGGCATCAGGGTCAATGGGACTCGGTGTATTTCGGTTTGCTGGCAACAGCTGGCCTGGAACAACACAGGAGTTTTAATTTACATTGACTCTAAGCCGGCCCAGGACACAGCCACTTAGTGATTCACTAGGTGTGTTGAGGGTCTTTAACCAACTTACATCTGACCCTACTGTCATTTGTCCTTATTAGTCTTCACTGTGTTTCTGAGAACACAGCAGGCAGAACTAATTGACTCATATCTTATCAGGCAATTCAAAGGTACATGCCTACTTGTTCACAAATAGGATGAAGAAAGTTAAAAAAAAAAAGTACACATTTTTATTGTCCTATTACATTCATTGTGTTGGTTAGTTTTATGTCAACCTGATATAAGCTAGAGTCTTCTGGGGAGAGGAAACCTCAGTGGATGAAAACTCTCTACCAGATTGGCCTGGAGCAAAACTATGGTGCATTTTCTTAAGTGCACTATGGTTTGATGGCGAGGAGGACATAGCTCATTGTGAATGGTGCCACTCCCAAGCTACTGGTCCTGGGTGTTATAAGAAAGCAGGCTGAGCAAGCCTTAAGGGGCAAGCCAGTAAGCAGTACTCCTCTATGGGCTCTGCATCAACTCCTGCCTCTAGGGTCCTGCTCTGTTTGAGTTCCTGCCCTGACACCTTTCCATGACAGACTGTAATGTTGAAGGGTAAGCTAAATAAACACTTTCCTCTCCAAAACACCTCTTTAGCCTAACCAAGACAGAAATTGATACCAGAGGGTGGAATGTTGCTGTGACTGACCCGACCATGCTGTTTTGGAGAGCACTGTGGAAAGACTTTGGTACTTTGGGCTGGAAAAGACAATGGGTGCTCAGAGATCAGTGGGTTATTCTACTGGAGCTTGGAAGACAATGCTGTGTAGATTATGGAGGCCTGGCATATGAAGTTTCAGAGACTCTGTCAGGGTCATTTGATATTTTGAGTTTAAGAACCTGTAGTTCTTGTCCACTGAGGCTGAAGAATTAGCCGCTATTAACTAGAGATCAAGACCATAAAGTGAAACCTTTGCTTTAATAGGATAACTAATGTTGGCTACCTGGGCCTAGAAATTTGTGGTGATTAAGAAGAGACCAGCATCACTGCAGTGAAATCTTTTGAGAAATGTCTCCTCTAGAGTCAGCACAGAGAAGCTATGTTCCACAGGTGACCAATGTTGTGCTTCATGCTGGCAGTCAAACCTGGCCATGTGTATGTGTGAGTCTCCCTTGTGGTACTGGGTTCGAAGGCATGAAGGGGTCATGGAGACCAGCTGAGCCTCATCATCATGGAAAGCTAGGTGAGGCCGTTAGTGAATGTGCCCCTTCAGTAGAAATAGAAGCTCCAGGATTGAAGGGTTAATGGAGAGAAGCTGAGGCTTGCCACTCGGTGGCTAGATCAGTCCTCAAAGAGAGACTAGAAGAGGCTATTTGTGAAGGTGCAGCTGAGTTGCAGTGTAGACCCCAGAATTATGGAGAGGTCAATACCATGGGAAAAACACCATGGTGTTTCATCACAGCAATAGTAACTCTAGGACAATCATGGAGCATCGATACATGCCAGGCATGCTGGATGTTGGGATGGATAGTTACAGGGTTTTAGGAACACTTCAGGTGTTTCCCAGATAAAGTCACAGAGACAGACCTATCCTTAGCCAGTTAGGGTAGAGTGTAGTGGTAGAAGGATGGAAGTAAATCTCATGTGCATTCAGATATAGAAAACCATACATAACATAAATGAGGTTAGGGGGCGATCCTGGTGATGGCACCTGGTCCAGCTGCATCTTGGAATAGATAGTAATCAACAAGAAGGTACTCTAGCTACTAAGTTCATATGTTTTAGTATAAGTATGTATGGATTGTGTTATGTGTGTACTTGTCAGTGTCTGTGTGCAGACATATGGGTATGTATGCATGCATGTGAGGCAAGGAGTAGACGATGGGTGTCATTTCTCAATCATTCTCCACCTTTATTTTCCAAGATGGTGTCTCTCATTGAACTTGAAACTCATAAATTTAATTAGGCTAGCTGGCCAACGAGCCTTAGGGGTCTCTGCCCGTCTCCATCCCCTCTCCCTGTTGGGTTTATACATAGGTTCTAGGGATCTGACTCAGGCCCTCTTGGTTTTGTGATAGGCACTTTACCAACTGAGATATCTCCCAACACCTCTCTCTCTATTTCTCTCTCTCTCTCTTTCTCTTTCTCTCTCTCTGTGTGTGTGTGCATGTGCGTGCGTGTGTGTGTGTGTGTGTGTGTGTGTGTGTGTTCCTCCCTCCCTCTCTCTCCCCTTTCTTCCTTCCTTTTTATACTGGGGATCAAACTTAGGGCCTTGATCGCTGTAGGCTACTGCTGTACCACTGTGTTACAACCCCACCCCTCTGGTTTGTGTTTTTGAGAAGCTACAAATAGTCTTCAGTAGTTGGAACCCAGAACCAAAAGACAGAATAAGTTTAGGTAAAACTACAAGAAATGTGACCATAGGCAATGTGAGCTGTGGGGACATGACAAAATGACACTGAATGTCATTGGAGGACTTTGAGGAGTGAACAAATAGCTACCTTAGAAAAAGATTGGCCGTATAATGGACCAAAGGGGCACAGGTGGAAACGAGCCAGATTCAAGGCTGTTGCAATACACCAGGCACACTTTAACAGTGGCTTTAAAGATATTGAGGAGCATATTAAAAAAAAAAAAAAAAAGATCAGAAAGGGCATAATGGAGACAACCTAACTTCTACTTGAACCCTCCACAGCCTAAGCCACTGAACTACACAAACATCCATGGAACAATGGGTGGATTGTATTTCTTTGTCTAGCTGGTGAAAGTGAACTTAATAACAGACCAAATGTTTATGCTGGGAGTCCTGAAAGCTTAACTTCCGGTTTCATCCGAGTTTTACAATTGCTCCTTTCAAGCCCGAGGAAGAAATAAGAGGACACAGCTTGGCTGTGTTTGGCTCAGCTCCTCTTCTGCCTCATTGCCAAAGGGTAGCCCCTGTGAGTGAAGAAATCTTTAGGTTTCTTTAAGAACCCACCCCAGGGTGAAGCATGAAGTCCGTTGCTTCTATTGCAGTGAAGCTGAGCCCCTGCACGCCTGTTTCTGAAAAGGCCTGGAAGGGAGCTTGAAAACTAAATGACCCAGATGACCTTCTAGGTCCCTTCTCTGCTTTGAGCTTTCTTTGTGTACTGCTTGCCAAAAAGGAAGAGACAGCCCCTGAGGCGTTGGCAGATGATGGGGTTTTCTCATTAGCCAAGCTGCCTCATAGCTCTAGCTTCTAGGGACTGCAGAGCTCTATACTGGATGGTGATAATTTCATCTTGTGTCTCCTGACCTTACCTTTTTTTTTAAGTTAATTTTTTAAATTTTTATTTTATTAATTTGTTTTTTTACATTCCAATCCCAGTTCCCCCTCCCTCCTCTCCTCCTGCTCCTCCCTCTTCCCCCTCCTCCCATTTGCTCCTCAGAGAAGGTAAAGCCTCCCCTAGGAAATCTGCTAAGTCTGTCCCATCATCTCCTAGAGTCAGGACCAAGGAACTTTTCTACTCCCTACACCCCTGTGTCTAGGCTGGGCAAGGTATCTCTCCATACGGAATCGGTTCCACTAAGTCAGTTTGTGCATTAGTGTTAGATCTTGGTCCCACTGCCAGTGGCCTCATTTATTGTCCCAGTCACACCAGAGAAGCTAGGAACCTCTTCCAAAAACAGATGGAAGCAGATGCAGAAACCCACAACTAACCAATGGGCCAAGCTCCTGGAGTACAATCAAAGTGAGGGAGGAGCAGTAATATGAACAAAGGAATCAAGACCATGAAGGGGAAACCCACAGAGTCAGCTGACTTGAGCTAGTGGGAGATCACTGACTCAGGTCTGACAAATGGAGACCCTGCGTAATACCTAACTAGACTCCCTAACCTTGCTTTTAAAAGGAATCTCCTCTCCATCTTATAGGGATGTTATTTTTCATGAAGGAAATGTCTTTGAATTTAATAACAGTATTACCTAATTCCTATCACCAGGCCTCCACACACATCATAGGCATCTACTCTCTTCTCCTATCCTGTTTTTATTATATTCTAGTGTGTGTGTGGAGGGGGGGTAAAAGGACAATTTGCAGGAGTCAGTTCCCTTTTTCCATTATATGAGTCCTGGGGATTAAATTTATGTCATCCCTGAATTTAGATTGTTATTACCATCAGGCTTGGTGCCTTTACCTACTCAGCACCTTACCCACCTCTTTCCTGACCCACACCACCCCCACCCCTTTGCTCCTATTTGTTTCAAAGCAGGGTTTCTCTGTGTAGCCCTGGCTGTCCTGGACTCACTCTGTAGACCAGGCTGGTTTTGAACTCAGAGATCTTCTTGCCTCTGCCTTTGCTGGGATTAAAGTCATGCACCACCATGCCTAGCTTCAACTCATCTCTTAATGCTTTTCAAATAGAATTTCTCCATTATTTCCAACTCCTCCTTCAGATTCCAGATTTCTGTTTGTTATGTTATCTTCAATGTTTTTAAGCTTTACACACAGGAGCATGCATGTGTGTGAGTAGATACACACACACACACACACACACACACATACTCACACACACTGGAGCACATAGCTCTTCACATTTTAACTATTTCAAACCCATCCAATTCCTTGTTATGATATCTGCTTTCATGTTCATCTTTGAAGAGCAATTCTCTCTCTCTCTCTCCCTCTCTCTCTCTCTCTCTCTCTCTCTCTCTCTCTGGTTGGGCCTCTGAGACCCTGAACTCTCTACCTGCATCCAAGGTCATTCTAACAGTGACATTTCCCATTTAGACAGACTATTCTAGCATTCTATCTCTGTGGCCCTTTTCTATAGAGAAGCAGGTCAGCCTTTCCTGCAGAATGGGAAAATGTAAGTGAAGGACAACACAAGTAAATGGCTGCCCCAGTGTCAACAGAAAGTGCTAAGGACAAAGAGACAAAACCATCTTTTCTACTAAATTACCTCCTGCTGAGGTTCTTTTTCCCCTTTATGGGAAAACTCTCAAGAGTCATTAGGTCACAGAGAGA